AGGTACCATGATTTAACATGCAGCTGTTTGTCATGTTCCCTTTACGCAGGTGAAATGCACAGTTACCAAGCAGATCACTGTTCCAGCAAGTATCCTCATCATAAACACTGAATTCAAGTTTGTTTCTCATGTTGATGGTGATCGGCCCAAAATCAAAGGTCTCTGGCCATTTAGGATTGTCATCGTTACTTATGATGTCAGTGCGCTTATTTTGATCACCATATGTAACCTCCACTGAACCATCAGTCTTGCCAAAGGTATCACCATACAGACGCTCCGCATAAAGCCCAAACACCTTTAATGTAGCAAGACCTTTCCCAGCAGGACAGCAGTTTGAGTCGATGTTCTGGTTACGGTTGCAAACACAAGCACAAGGATCCCTCTTACTAGATCTGTGCCCAACTTGACAAGATTCTGAACATTTCTTCAACACTGCATTTTGCTTGATGTACTTCTCCACCTCTTGCTTCAGTCCAGCACTAACTGGATGACCATTAGGCAGTATGGTGTGCAGTGGTTTTAAATTATATCGGATCACAGCAGGTATATTTTTCAGTGAGTTAATCCAGCTGTTATAGAAAGAGGGGTCTGACTGGCCTTTAAACAAGATATCAGCTTCATCAACATTTCCACCAGTGACCTCTGTGATACGCTCACTAAATGTGCTGCTGAAACTTTGGCCATGGCCTAATTTCTTTTTCGCGTCCTCACAGGGTTTGGTCATGGCCTTAATACGGGCAGTATTTACAAAGCTACTAGAGGCCTCAACTGACAAACAGTCATTGACCTCTGTCGCTGACACTCCACTCATGGCTGCCTCGCAGGTCTTGATAGAAGTGAATGCTTTTATTTCCCCTCCTAGAGATACCTGTGTGATGTAATGTGTACCATATGTGTCAATCAAATCGCGATACGGTGTCTCAGTTGTACGTGAATAGGCAGGAAGAGATTTTATGGCTGAAGAAAATTCATGGCTCAGTGGAGGATTTGTTGCCAGTCTGTATCTGTGAAGCACAGAAAGTAAATAAGTTACAGTTACAGTGTATCACAGTGCCTTTTTATTCATGTTATTGTTAATTTAGTCTTTTACTCATACTCACCTATAGACGATAGAGTGGACAGAATGGCGAAGGAAGGTGTATCGGTCTTGTTTTGACTTTTTCATGGCAAATTTAGAATCCTCGGAGCGGGACCCTCCAAAGCCAACCCCAATAGTGACACTGGGGTCTACAGTGATTTCAAGGCCAATTTTCCAGTCATTGCTCACAGATGATGTGGAATCGTTGACAAGAGTTTCAACAGAATCATAGACTGTACCAGAGACCTCTAAGGTGGACTTGGGAATGATCCTCCAGTCCACCACAGCAACTGGGATCTTCTGATCTTCATTCATGTAGCTGTTACTGACTAACTCGCAAGTGCCATTGCCAAGGTTCCATTTTTCAGTGTCAATGACATAGGCATTTTTGTGTTTCATTGTGACGATGTCGAAGCCTTCTCC